CCTTTGTGTTTGGAAGCGGGGGGTGGGGGTGGGGGGAGGACCAGGGAGGATGATTCAACCACTCAACCACTAGATTAATCCTTGTTTCGATGTGTTGGGTCACATTTAGAGAAAATGACACAAACATGTAGATTTAGTGTGTTTTTTTTGCACAATCACAGTTTGTGTTTGATGTTTTTGCACAGTCTGCACCATCTTGGTTCACATATTGGACGGCGGAGCCTTGTGGTAGATCCCCGACGTTAACCCGGTCCGAGCGTGTCCCGTCAACGCTGTGCTCGCCTCGCTGTACATGGACGGAGGCGCAGTGGCTTTCTGCGGCCAGCAGGGGCAGCATCGAGCCACGAACCTCCTCCAGGACTCCAGAGTCTTCCCGGACCAAATCCAGACCCCGGACGTGATGCCCACCACTAAACACATGAAGTACTTGAGCATGAACACGGCGTAGTCRGGGCCCAGGCCCGAGCGCTGGCGCTCCGACGGGCAGGAGCACGCCAGGGCTCGCTCCCAGCCGGGCCGGTAGTGCTGCTCGTAGACCAGGCAGGCCACCACGATGGTGGCGGGGACCGTGTACAGCACKGTGAAGAGTCCGATGCGAATCATCAGCCGTTCCAGTTTGTCCGTCTTGGTGCCGCCCTGTTTGATGATGCTCCGGATGCGGAACAACGACACAAAGCCAGCGAGTAAGAACAGCGAGCCCGTGAAGAGGTACACCACCAGCGGGGCCAGGACGAACCCCCGCAGGTTCTCCAGACTCTGGTTCCCCACGTAGCAGATTCCGGCCACGGGGTCCCCGTCCACGGAGCTGAGCGCCAGGACCACTATGGACTTGACGCTGGGGACGAGCCAGGCGGCCAAGTGGAAGTACTGCGAGTACCCCGCGATGGCCTCGCTGCCCCACTTCATCCCCGCAGCCAGGAACCAGGTGAGGGACAGAACCACCCACCAGATGGAGCTGGCCATGCCGAAGAAGTAGACCAACAGGAAGACCAGGGTGCAGAGCGCCGGGCCCGAGGCGTCGTAGAGGACGTGCAGCTGGGTGCCCCCCGCGCTGCCGAGACCACACGCCACCCGCTCGTGGCCCGCCACCAGCCGGACGATGTACCCCAGGGACACGAAGAGGTAGCAGGCCGACAGGAAGATGATGGGCCTCTCCGGGTACTTGAAGCGCTCCATGTCGATGAGGAAGGTGGCCACGGTGGTCAGCGTGGAGACGAAGCACAGCACGGACCACAGGCCCACCCAGAAACTCGTGAAGGCTCGCTCGTCAGCCGAGAAGTAGGCCAGGTGGCAGGGCTGGGCGCAGTTCGGTAAGGGTCCGGTCTGGACCCGGCCGTACAGGACATGAGACTCCCGCTTGATGGGCACCAARGGGTCCCGGCAGCGGCACTCCTTGTCGCACTGAGACGGACTGGGCGGTCTGGTCCTGGCTTTGGGGGTGGACTTGGGGAAGGGCGGCGCCAGCGTGGTGGTCTCGCTGCTGTTCTGGTCCATGCACAGGACCTCGTGGCCCAGCTGGGGCAGCTGCTCGCAGCTCATCCTCTCGGGCCACTCGAAGCCGTACTGGCTCATGAGGGGCGAGCAGCCCCGCTTGGCCCGCTCGCACACCGAGCGGCAGGGGGGCAGGGGCTTGCGGTAGTCCGGCAGGCAGATGGGCGTGTACATGCTGCACAGGAAGAAGAGCAGGTCCGGAGAGCAGCGGATGCGGACCAGAGGCCAGAACTGGTGCACCTCCAGCCCCACCTCCTCCTGGGTGTCGTGGTTGAACTGGTTCGGCATGTAGGTCAAGTTGTAGCCGATGCCCTTACACATGGGCACCGTGATGGGCTCACACACCAGGTTCTTGGAGGCTCCTGCTGTGAAACCAGGACCCCAGAGGAGCAGTAGCACCAGGCTGGCAGCCATGACTGGAAGACAAATAAAAATCACTTTAGACCAGTGGTTCCCAAACTTTTCAGCTTTTGACCCACAAAATWACAGTAGCAGAGACCTGAGCCCCCAGCTATTTTTGGATGATAAACATTTGTATCAGGTCAACTAAACATGGGCATAGTAACAATATTTTTTATACTACGTTTATCCATTTTACATACACTAACCTCACTCATTTGTAACAACTAAGGCAAAAAATGTGATTAATTCAGAAAATCTTTTCAGGACCCCATCTTGATGTTTCAGGACCCCACTTTGGGTCCCGACCCCAACTTTGGGAAACACTGCTTTAGTTTACATCGATTTAAATAAAAGTAAGAAGTTCATGAGAGAAAAGTTTGAGCTGAAAGCACCTTTAAGGCTCCTGATGGTCCAAACCAAGTCAGCCAGGTCCAGCAGATCCCAGTGAGCGCTGTCAATCATTCACCACAGCTCCCAGTCATCACGGAGAAAGTTCATATCCGGTTGGCACGTTCCAATCAGTTTAACGAGCCTGTGAGATTTTTACCTGCTCAATTTCCTCCAAAGCAGCCGCAGAGACTCTCATCAGCTGTCCGTCACAAACAACAAACAGGTCAAAASGAGAAAACCAAATCTGAGCAGAAGTTGTTCAGTCTGAGCAAAGTGACCTCTGTTTGCTCCACGAGGAACAAAACAAACACCTGATGCTTTTTTTCCCTCTTTTTCCGTCTGAGAGGTTCAAAGTGTCCAAAACTGCTGTTTTCCCGGTGAACGAAAGAAAAACAAACATTTATCCGGAGCGTGGCTGAGGAGGAGAACTTCTCCCGTGTCGTGTCGTCACGCAGGTCCACGCGCGGCAGCTGCGCTCCCGGACTGAAGGAAGAAGTCCGTCTGAAGGTGCCGCATCAAAGAGGGGCTGTGCTGCGTTCAAAGGCTGTGGGAAAAATCAGCTCTCAGCTGCGCGCTGTCAGACAGACTGACAAACATAAACCTGTGAAGACAAAACACAGCACCGTGTCTGACACAAGTCATGTTAGTTATAAAATAACTGAGTAAAAACCTTTAAAACATTAAAACTTTCTGATTCTTTAACTTTATTTGGGCCTTCCCAGGTCAAAAAACATTATACTAATTATAATAAATCTAAGTATATGCCTGCTTTAGTATACTTGAAGCCGCACTAATCATCAGTATACTTAADGAGTGCTAATTTGGAACAACTAATTAATACTAAATATACTTTAGTTGTATTTAAGTTGTACAAAAGTGTATTAAGTATACTTTTAAATACTAAAATTGAACAACTTCAAGTTTACTTAGTACGCTTAATACACTTCAAATTGTGTTTTTGTACAACTTAAATGAAACTAAAGTATACTGGAGACCGGGGATGGTTGCAACACATCATTTTTCTCCAAACAGAAACAGAGTGATGACACTCACACTGTACATGCTCAGTTAGATGTCCCAC